GCCCGTGGGACCGGGGAGCGGCGCCGCGAAGTGGGGGCCCCCGCGGGCGGAAGTGCCGCCGCTCCTGAGTTTCGGGGGTCCCCTCCCTACGTCTTTGTGAACTGAGAAATGCAGTAACTTCCCTGGACCAGATGCAGCGCGCAATAAGTGTTTCTTTTGACTGGGGTACACCCGGGTGTCGCTTAGTGTTTTCGGGACACTTAGTGTTTTAGGGACAGCCGGGTTCCGCTTGTGAGCCCAAGTCCCCCTGCTGCGGACTGGCAACGTTGGGACCACAGGGGCGCTCGTCAGAAACACAGTGTCCACCCCAGCCCAGACCTGCTGAATCACAATGTACACATGGTACAGGCACCTACGGAGGTTGAAGCCGAAGCAGCCCCACGCCAGGGCACATCTGCTTTCAACATGCATTGCCAGTATCGAGCCTAGAAGCCTGGGCTCTATGCTGCCAGGCATGGGATTCTGATCCTGGGCAATTACTTAACCTCTCTGAGCCTGTTTGCTTGGGGGGTGGGGGTGGGGGCGGTGTAATAATAATAGTACCTAACTCCTAGGGCTGCTGGAAAGATTAAACGTGACATTTAAGGAAAGCGCCCAGCACCTCATAGCACTCAGTGTTAGTCCTTCCTACCTCCATCAGCAAACGAGTTGAGCACCCGCTAGGTTTTACACTCTGTGCTAGTGTGGAGATAAATCAAACTCCTTTGCAGCCCTTCCTGTAGTAGGTGGAGCCCACTATGAGGGACACGATGTCAGCAACTCAGCATTTCCTGGGCTCCCGTTAAGTACAAAAGACACAGTCTCTGTCCTGGAAGAAAGCTGCCCTCTCCCACTGCCATGAAAAATGCAGTTCGCTTGCCCAAAAGAGCAAATATGGTCCCCAGAATTCAGGAAACCCACACCCTAAGCTCAGCTCTGCCACCAACTTGGTTCTTGAGCAGCTTCGCTGCTGCTTTGGACTTCAGTTTCCTCATCCACAAAATGAAGGAATTGGATCAGGTTGTCCTTACGATCATCTTTCAGCTCCCCAAAAAGCTTGTGGTCTTGCACCTGGAGGGAAACCATTGCAGTAAAGATTACTTAGCCTATAGCCCAAGATATGCAACCAGGGCTGGAATATCTCTATCCCCCACCCTCACCCCTCCCAGCACACCACTCCTTTTCCTCCTGGTGGGCTTTGCAGTATTGGCATTCCAGGCAGATGGGAAAGCTTGACTTGGGCCTAGGTTAGCACTTAAGCCCAGAGACAGCCAGGCATTCTCTGTTGTTCCTACTCCTTTCCTGAGACCTGTCCCTGATGTCATAACTGGGTAACTATGACAACCTGTCATAGGGACCTCTAAGCACTTACAGAGGAGCCTGGGTGCCTCATTTCTGAAGTGAGACTAGGAAGAGATGAACAGTTCCCTGGAATATCTGGCCTACCCTGTTATCGTCTCTAATCACAGACAAAGCACAACCTTCAAGAAGAAACTGGACTTTGGCTACTACCTATTTCACAAGAATAGAATACAAATAGGTATGTGGGCAGTTTGAGCTGGACACTGTTAACAGAGGTTCTGGAAGGGTCCACCATAGAGATATTGACAGCAAACCAGCCCAGTACATGGCTTTGGGATGATAGGGCCTTATCTGCTAAGTTTGGTCAAGAGGACATTAGCAACAGTAACAAAATTTCTATTCTATCGGGGAGTTCATTTTAAACTCTTCAAAGCCAAAGTAAATTAGAAAGAAGATAGGGGCCGGTCCCGTGGCTCACTCGGGAGAGTGTGGCACTGGTAGCACCGAGGCCGCGGGTTCGGATCCTATATAGGGATGGCCGGTGCGCTCACTGGCTGAGTGTGATGTGGACGACACCGTGCCGAGGGTTGTGATCCCCTTACCGGTCAAAAAAAAAAAAAGAGGATCGGACTTCAGTATCCCATAGACAGGTTAATAATATTGGCAACGGGTGGGAGAGGCCCTTTCATTGGATTAAAAGAGTATTTATCTCTGTAACTCTCTTTCTAGCCCTCACCATTCTTTCATTTCCCGTGCCGAGGGTTGTGATCCCCTTACCGGTCAAAAATAAAAAAGAGGATCGGACTTCAGTATCCCATAGACAGGTTAATAATATTGGCAACGGGTGGGAGAGGCCCTTTCGTTGGATTAAAAGAGTATTTATCTCTGTAACTCTCTTTCTAGCCCTCACCATTCTTTCATTTCTGCTCAAAACTCTTCAGAGATATCCATTTGAGAAATTAAACCAAACTAAAATTCCTGAACCAGATTAAGGTCATAATTCAAAATCATCATTAGCCAGGGTCATCATCTAGCATGTGAGTAGGTTCCCTGAGGCTATTAGGATTTCTGCGATATAATATTTCTCTTTTATCCCCCTTCTCTAGCGAAGGCTACTGTTGATACCAAACCTCCAGTGGCGCACAAACATCATATTTTGAAATTGAGCAAACTACAGGTATTTGTTCTTGTCATCTGCAGATGTATTTTAATGATTTTTAGCTATGTCCTAAAGAGGTCCAATTTCCCAGATCTTTCTAAATACCCACCTAACCCAAAGACTTAACACTCCTCCTCCCCATACACATCACCCCCAGTTTCCTAAGCTGTGCTCCCAGTCTCCACTGTAGCCTTCAATGTGCCCCTTTCCCCACCATCCCAGAGGAGAGCGATGCTAAGCCATCGGGTGTTGAAGCAGTGTGGCAATGATGTCACCATGGTGGGGTGCGGTTTCTTTCCAGGGTGAACAAAAGAGAATTGACAAAATCGAATATGAAAATAAGCAACTGTGCCAGAAAATCGCGAATGCCCATCGTGGCCCTGCCAGGGTGGACTGCTGGAACGAGTACTTATCCAAGAGGTAGTGCTTTTTCTCTTCATTTCATTTTTAGAAAGTCAAAATTGACCTTCCCGTTGGGTTTTAGTGTGAGGTTCTCTCAAGCCAGAGGAGTACTTAAGGGAAGTTATCTTGACAGATAACCAATGAGACCATGCTGAGAAGAATGAAAACTTCAAAAATGGGGACCTTTCTCTAGCATCAAAAAGCTTTTATTTCATCTAAGAGACTTCTCAGAGTCCTACTCAGTTTGTCACAAGAAAGCACTGCATTCTTTTATAAAATGATGACCGTGTGTCTCAGTTGTTCAGAGTACTGTAAAAAAAATACCATAAACTGGTAGCTTATAAACAACAGAAATTTATTTTTTGCAGTACTGGAGGCTGGGAAGTCCAAAGGTCAAGGCGCCAGCAAATTCAGTGTCTGGCAAGGACCTGCATCCTGCTTCATAGACAGCCGTCTTTTCACTGTAACCTTGTGTGGCAGAAGGGACAAAGAGTTTCCCCCAGACTTCTTTTATAAGGGTACTAATCACACTAGGGTGTCCTTATCACCTCCCAAAGGCCCTACCTCCTAATACCAACATTTTGGGAGTTAGGATTTGAACATATGAATTTGGGGGCAATATAGACACTCAGACCACAGCACCATAGCTGGGACTATGACATGACATTCTTAAAATCAGTTCCACAAATATTTCCTGAGCAACTACTACGTGCCAGGCATCAGGAATACAGAGATGAAATGAGACATGTATCTCCTAACCTCAAAGAACTCAAGGTCTGGTAGGGGAGACATTTATGTAAATAATAACACTGTAATGTGCTCAGGGCTATAAAAGAACTGTATACAAGGGAAAGAATTTGGTGTGTGTGTGGGGGGGGTGTACGGGATAGTGTTGAGATGCCTTTCTTATATCCTTGTATATATCAAACTAAGTTGAAAGCTGAGGGGAGTGAAGTGAACCAAAACTTGTCACCAGCCATTTATGATTAATCCATAGGAAGACCTCATCACATAAACCGCAGGTTCTCAGTCCTGGTTTCACATTATAATCCTTGGGGAACTTTTACAAAATGCTGATGTCCAAGCTTTACCCTAGCCCAATAAAGTGGAATCTTCTGCTTTACTGAAGAAAGCACAATGCTTTGCAGGTTTCTCAGAGCGCAATGTGGTTCAACAGGCATGCCTTAGGGGCCTCAGGGCTCAAAGGGACAGTTTACTCCCTGCACGTAGGCAGCCTGGCGTTTATGACATCATGACTTCATCTCCTCCCCCACTCTGACAGGAGAAGCAATTTCTTCTTCACCCATCTCAGGATTTTGTGTTTTTCAGCTTAAACAGAGAAACAAGGAACCGCGAGCTAGTGAGAATCACCATGGAAAACCAGGGCATTCTGAAGAGGCTTGGTGATCGCAAACCCCACTATGACCACAGGGCATCCGAGATAGACTGGCAGGCAAGTGGGCACTCATTACATTTCCAGGAGCACACAGATTTTGTCTGTATTCATCCTAAAGAGAGTCTCAGAAAGACCCCCTAAACAGCTAGGGCCAGATCCTGTGAAATGCAACAATCGTTAAAAGAAAAACCACTCAAAGCAGACGGAGCTAATAGGCTCAAACCATCAATCAGCTAAAGACATCTTGGTAGCAAAGCTATTACATGTGTCAGTTTCAGAAAATAGCTGGTAGCATCTCCCTCATCCCTTAACTCAGTAAAAGAGGCTGAATGTACAAAGATAAAGGATATACAATTCAGTATATGGTTGACTTGCTTCATATAGGAATGACCCTTCAAAGAGAAATTTTTTTTAAAAAAAAGCCGTCTGTACTGTTTTTTAAAAACCTCCACTCCCTGGCTCCATGATCTGTAAACCTTTTCTAAGCCACCCTTAGGACTTAGAACTTCGACTGTAGCACCCTGACATTGACATAAACCTTTCTGATTTTTTTCCTTCAAGAATTCAAGGCGCTACATCAGAAATACAACAAGATATCTTCTCTCCTGAGATGAATAGGTATGGCTCTTTACTATACAAAATTGTGATCACAGTTGATACCAAAGCCCTAAAAACCCCATAAATGCCAAAGGAGGGGCCCAGTGAAGGAGATGAATTTTGCTCTTCTCATATAATATTGATTGGTCATCCATTCATGACTCCTAGAGCTCTCTGACTTTGTTTCTCCATACAAGTAGGAAATCACATTGTCTTTTGTCATCATCAGCTTTGACACTTTATGAGTCTAAGGGGAAGTGATTTGTTCCAATAAAACATAAACAGGAGGCCTCATGGCTTTAAAGTTGTGTCAAAGTTACATTTCAAGTCTCTGTCACTATTCAAAAGTACTTTCATGTTGGCATTTTGTATTATTCAACATTATTAGTAAGGACTATGTTGTCCCCCCTCCCCCTCCAAGGGAGAAGGATAAATGGACACCCAGGCTTTCCAAAGAATGGTTCCTATAATTGATGTGTCTCCCTCTCTTTTCCCCACTGAATACAAGGTTACTCACCATGGAAAATGACACAGGAGAAGGCCCTAAGATTTCTCAGCTGCTTAGAATCTCAGGACACTCCTGAGTGGCTGAATGCTCAATCTTAGGATGCTACAATAAAGCTTGGAAAATAAAATGAGTAAGTTACATTTAAGGGACCCAAGGGCTTTCAGTCCTGACCCCAAAATGGGGCAGGCAAAAGGAAAGATGCAGTGAGCTTTTTTATTTGGGGCTATGAAAAAAAAGTTTGTGTGTGTGTGTGCATGAGACAGAGACGAGAGAGAGAGAGACAGAGAGAGAGAGAGATCTCTGAGAGAACTCTGTTAAACATACGCCATCATCACCATCTTTGGGAGAAGAAAATGTGGGGTGAGATGATCCATCCACAAGTACAACACCGTCAAAATGGAAAACAAAAGCACATGACACCATCGAGTTTCAGACAGCACAAGGAACAAATGCCACATGTTCCTCTGTGAATACACAAAGTTGAAAAGAATGCTTCATTGAAATTGCCAGTACTCTGTTCGTTTATAAGGAACAGCAACAGTGGAAATGTCTCAAAACATATGGGTGAGACAATGTTGCATGACTGGTCATGCTAATTTTGAGACTGACTTTTAAAACTTTTTATTTTGAAATAATGACAGATTCACAGGTAGTTGCAAATAAATGTACAAGGAGGCCTCCTGCACCCTTCACCCAGCCTCCCCCAATGTTAGCATCTTGCATAAATACAGTACAATAGCAAAACCAGGAAACTGACATTGGTACAATCCATAGTGCATATGCACATTTCATCAGTTATGTATGCACTCATTTGTGTATTTGTGTGTATAGCTCTATGCAGTTTTGTCACATGTGTAACTTCGTGTAACCACATTGAAAATGCTTAACTGCACTATTATCAAAAGACACTCTTGTGCCACTCCTTTTAGCCACAGCCACCCTATCCCTAACTCCTAGCAATCACTAATCTGTTTTCCATCTCTATAATTATCTTATTTCATGAGTGTTCCATAAATGGGATCATGCAGTGTGTGTCCATCCTTTTAAGATAGGCTTTCTTCACTCAGTGTAATTTCCTTGAGGTTCACCCAAGTCGTGTGTACCAGTAGTTCATTCCTTTTTATTGCTAAGTAGTATTCCATGGTATGGATGTACCACAGTTTGTTTAACTGAAAGACATTTGGTAGTTTCTAGTTTTTTGTTTGTTTGTTTGCTTAAATATCATGAATAACCTTGCTTTGAGCATCTGTGCACAAGTTTCTGCATGGAAAATTGGTTTTGATTTCTCTGGGACAAATGCTCACTAGTGTAATTGCTTGGTTGTATGGTAAGTTTTTATTTTCCAGGGTGGCCATACCATTTTTACATCCCCACCAGCAATGAGTGAGTGATCCAGTTTCAACCCATCCTCACCAACATTTGGTGCTCTCAGCATTTTTTATTTTAGCCATTCTGATATGTGTGTAGTGATATCTCTTGCAGTTTTAATTTGCATGTCTCTAATGGTTAACGAAGTTGAACATCTTTTGTGTGCTTATTTGCCATCTGTATATCCTCTTCAGTGAAATTGTGCATGGCTTTTGCTCATTTTCTAATTAGATTGTTTTTCTTAATATTGAATTCTGAGAATTATTTACGTATTCTAGATATGTCTTTTGCCAGATACATGGTTTGCACATATTTTCTCCCAGTCTGTAAATTGTCTTTTTGTTCTCTCTCTTTTTTTTTTTTGTCTTTTGTCTTTTTCCGTGTCCGGCAAAGGATCGCAACCCTCAGTGTTGCCCCCGTACCGGACCGGGGACCGGCAACGGGATCGCAACCCTCGGCGCTGCTCCCGTGCCTTGCTCAGCCAGTGAGCAGGAACCGGTCTGTACATGGGATCCGAACCCTCGGGCGGGAGCCCCGCCGCGCTTCCCAAGCGGCGCACTATCCAGTGCGCCACCGGGCCAGCCCCTTTTTGTTCTCTTAATAGGGTCTTTCACAGAGCAAAATATTTTTATTTTGATGACATCTAATTTATCAATGATGAAACTGTTCTGTATCTTGAGTGTATCAATGCAATTTCTAGGTGGTGATATCATACTGTAGTTTTGCAATATGCTACCACTGGGGGGAAACCGGGAAAGGGGTTCACAGGATCTCTCTGTCTTATTTCTTATACACACGTGAATCTACAATTATCTCGAAATAAAAAATTTAAAGAAAAAAATCAAGAAGTCCAAACATAAACTCATTATGAACTGGTTCCAGTTAATCTCATTTTGAGAAACATCCGTGCTTCTAGATATCCTTAAGAATGTGGGGGTCATCCTTTATTTCACTCCCTTTCATCCTGTCCTCTTCCTTACATATCTTAAATCTACAAGCCCTACTTCTCAATCTTTGTATGTGCAACTGCCCATATCTCAGGCACTTGGGATTTACAACTGGGATTGTGCCCATATCATTTTCTAGCTTAATACGTTCAGTGACTTCTTCCATAACAAGCAAAAGCTTTAAGTATGGCATACAAGGCCCTCCATGATCCTGCCCCTCCTGTCTTTGCAGCCTTTATCAGTAGGAATTCTTCATTTCAAGCAACAGAAACTGACTTTTTCTGATTTAAGTAATGAAATCATTTATTAAAAGAATATGAATTCATTAATAGTATTTCCTAGAAAACTTCAGAACCTAGCTTTAAGCTGCACATCAAGAAACAACATCCCAAATTTTGCTGTGAGACTGGCCTGGAGGTGCTGCTGCAGCTCACACTGCTGCCCCTGCTTCACCCAGATCTAGAGATTGCTGACCTGCTACTGCTGCCTTTGAAAAGTCTTTGTTGTCCCTGCCATCTGTGTCACTAGCCCCCTATTCCAAGTCAGTGAAGGTGGATCTGATTGGTGCACCTTCACTGCAAGAAAGTCTGGAAGGTGATATCTGGCTTTTTCCACTTCTGGACATGGGGTCTGATGACTCTCCCCAAATCATAAGATAGGAAATTTCCCCCAGATTAGAAGGAAGCTCAGATGCTGGACTTCTGCAAAAAAAAAAAAAAAGCCAAACTTCGGCAACCTTATCTCATCACTCCTTGCCTTTTTCAGCTAAAAGAACACGTGTTTTTTTCTCATTCCTTTATGTTGTCCCCTCTAGCTGAGAAATCCATAGTTCTGTCTCTTTGCTTGGACAATACCTGTTCATTTTTCAACATGCGAGACAGCCCATTTTCAGGAAATTTCCATGAATTGCTCAAGTTACATTAGGTATAGTTTCAAATGTTTGGAAATTTTCCTGTTGTCTTTCTGTTATCAATTTTTAGTTTGATTCCTATATGGCCTAAGAGTACACTCTACAATTCTTAATTCTATTAAATTTTTAAGGTTGTCTTATGACCCAGGATACAGTCTATCTAGGTGACATTTTTATGAGCATTTGAAAAAATGTGTATTGTGCTGTTGCTGGAGGATGAGGGAACATTCCATACATGTCACTTAGATCCTGTTGGTTGATGGTGTTCAGTTCTTCTATATCCTTGATGATTTTCTAATAATTCCACCAGTCACTGACAATGGGGTGTTGAAATCCCCAGCTATAATTGTGGATTTGTCTATTTCTTTTCTTTCTTTGTCTATTTTTTTTCTTTTTTTAGATTTGTCTATTTCTTCTTTCCACCCTATCAGTTTTTACTTCATGTATTGTGGTGTTTGGTGCATACATTTAGTATTGCTATATCTTCTTGATGGACTGATCCCTTTATAATTATATAATGTGTCCCTTTGTCCCTAGTAATTTTCTTTCTCTAAAGTCTACTTTATCTGATATTAACATAACCGCAACTGCTTTGTAAAAATTAATGTTTGTATGATACACTGTTTCTTATCCTTTTATTTTCAGCCTACCTATGTCATTGTGTTTGAAAGAACATATACTTGTAGACAGCATCTAGTTGGGTCATGTTTTTTTATCCATTCTGCCAATGTCTTTTAATTGGTCCCTCTATCCTCCCCACTTTAAAAATATAAACTATCTTAAGTATTTCTTCTGCTTACATTGAGCAACACGTCAGATAGTGTTGTACCTTTTGCTTCAAATATAAAATATGGGTAAAGAAACTCAAGAGATAAAGTATAGTCTATTATGCTTATTTCTAGTGTGTCAATTTTTCCTGTCTCAAGGTCTCAGCCTTCTTCTGTTAATTTCTTTCTGTTTAGAGAGCTTCCTTTAGCCACTCTTTAAAAGTAAGTCTCAACAAATTCTGTTTCTCTTCATCTCAGAATGTCTTTATTTTCCCCTTCACTCCTGAAGGATAGTTTCAGCATATACAGGATTCAAGGTTGACAGTTCTTTGTTTTCAGGACTTGATGAATGTTGTACCACTTCTTTCTGGCCTCCATAGTTTCCATTATAGGCAATGCTAAAATAGAACTGGAATTAGTGTTTCTTCCTGGTTGTTTCTGACTGCTTTTTTTTTTTTTCCTTTTTGTCTTTTTTTCGTGACCGGCAACGGGATCGCAACCCTCGGTGTCGT